AAAATTAATTTGTGTTTTTAACCAAATAAATATAAATGTCTTTATTTTATAGCAGTTTAAAAAGCTAATCACAAACAGAAAAAACTAAAAACTATGGGAATAAAATTCATTCACATTGCAGTCGCAGTAATTTTTACAAAAAGTAAAAAATAAGAGATCACTTTACACTTGTATACAGTATATACATATCGTCGTTTGAAGTGCAAAACCGCGTATCAACAAAATGCACAACCGCGAGTTAAACTCATACTCTCGATGTACAAAAATAAATATAATTTTATTGGTACCAAGATGTACTTAAATCAATTCTAACCTGAAGTTCATATGCTTCAGTATAATAGAAGACTAACTTATTTCTATACTTAATCCTCTATTTATAGGCTCTGGTTTCTTTTGTTTATTGGTTGCTGATAATCTTCAATAGGAATGTTTTGGTTGCTGATAATGTTCAATCTTTTATTTGCTGACAATGTTTTGGTTGCTGATAATGTTCAATAGGAATCTTTTATGTAAACTACTGATTCTGTATCATACATTGGATGATGTCATCGGTACAGTAGTGTATTTTCTGTTACACTAACTCTCCTCCCTCTTAAAATTAAATGTCCTCATTTACAATTTGGACTCTAGTAATTTTCGTTTTCTTTCTTCATGGTCTTTTTGACATTGTATTAGTGCTCTTTGATAAAGTATATTCCTTCTCTTTACTCTAAATTCTAATAATAGTTTGGTTATTGTGATTAATAGGGTTATAATTAATATAGTTATAAATGTAGCCTTAATTGGATTTTGTTCAATTGGTACAAATATGGATGATATTTCGTCTAGATTATTGAACTTGTATTCTGATTGAGATTCTAAGTATTCTAATATATCTAAATTTTCTTTATGCTTTTTATGGAGTATTTTTACCATAGTTTCCTTAATGTTTATATATTCTTCATTATTTAATCTTATATTGGTTTTGAAATAAATTGAAAAATCTCAATCTAAAATCTCGTTGTTTAATATATTTAATCCGCTAATAATAATGTTTCCGTTACCATATAATAAAGAGTGGATTCTTTTCTTTTATCATTTTACATTGAGCATTATTTTTCTCTAATATTTGTATTGTACATTCGTCCCTTTTATTCTGCTTACATATAGTTTGATCTATAAAATCTTTACATTTATTGATTCTTACGTATTGATTTCCTTTGCATAAAGCAATATTTTTATCCATAATTAATTTTCCTTTTTTTTGAAGCTACTGAGTGGATGTAGAATTGTTCACATTTTTCTTTGATTTTTGGGTATTGGTAAACTGTTACAAAGTTTTGTTTGAATTTAACAATTTTAATTTCTGCATATTCTAAAATATTTATGGTTAAAACATTTGTTTTTTCTTTCGCAATGATTTCTGTGATTTCTTCTAAGTCTAATGAGGTTGACAGGAAGTTGTTTATTTTTTGCTAAATTAATTGTAGTTAGGAGAGTATTTAGTTCATTGTAGACTTCTGTGAGTATTAATTTTTCAGAGAAATCCTTGGGGTTTAATTTCTTTAACATTTTTTCGAAATTACTATTTATTATTTTGTGTTTATTATGTCCCTCAATTAATTGATTGATTCTTGTCTGTATCTCTACTTCATCATCGTGGTCTGGTGTGCCCGTTATCCATTTTAATATTGTCCCTAATGCCTTTAATCCTCTTCTAAATCTATTAACTGGATTTATCTGTTTTATTAATATTTCAATTTTTCGGTGTAATATTTTCATTTCAGGATTTGAATCTAAATTATATTTTGAGTTTAATATATTTTGGTATGGTGTTAATATTCTAGTTAAATTTGTAATATGATATAAATAATCGTAGCTATCAAATATAAAAGCTGGATTCGTTTCTATTAATATATAATATTTTCCTTTCAGGTTTGTAATATTTGTGTCTGAACTAATTCTGTTTATGCACAGCAAGATTATTATTATTATGAGTATCATTTCTAGTTCGTACGGATGTTATCTTTGTGTATTATTCTATTATCAGTTGTTGTGACTGTTCTACCGTTATCCTGTTCAATTATTTTTTTCATGAATGTATCGTGTTTTTTATTTCTTCGGCTTCTCTTAACGTAAATAATATCTCCTTTCTTGTAAGTAATTTGTTTGTTCGGTGCCTTCTGTTGAGTGATATCTCTTTCTTGATTATATTGAATTCTATTTCTGATGACTTTATAGTCGTATCCTCCTCTGTTGAAAAACACGTCCTCGAGTTTATGTCCTGTGACCGAGTGAATGGTTTTATTGTACTGTCGTACTGCTTCGAATATTACCTCTTCGTGTTTGCCTTTGGTTTCCTTTACTAGTAAGTTAGTTAGCTCCACTATTGTGCTGTGCGTCCGCTCTACTTGACCGTTCGTTGTCGAATGTTGTGGTGGCACTGCTGTGTGCTGTATATGTAGTCGATCGTATACAGATTTTGCTACTACATTAACGTATGTCGGGTCGTTATCGGTTGTTAGGTTCGTTGCGTATGGGAATATTTGTGATAGTATTTCATTCAAATATATGTATGTGTTTTTCCTATCTGGTATTTTTCTTATATAGCAGAATTTTGAGTATCTGTCTACTGTAGTTATATATATTTGGTTGTCCATAAAAAATGTATCCATGTGTAAATGTGTACCTACTTCATTTGGTATTGGTGTTTTTCCGTAAAGTAATTTATTCGGTCGTCTGTCGTATTTACATTTTTTACATATCTCACATATTTGTGCTGCCTTCTTTGCCATATCTTGCATGTTAGGCCAGTAATAGCTCTCAGAGAGTTCTTTTATATTATTTCTATAATTTCTATGTGCTCTTCTGTGTATTTGTTCAACTATCTCATTCTGTTCATTTTCGTCAGTGATGTCTCTGACTAATGCATTTGCTATTACAAAATTAGTTGTTGGGAAAGTTTGTACTAGTGTGGTTTTTATTTGATATAGAATTTCTTCTGTAGTGATTATGGCGTTAATATTGTTTGGGTGTAATACGCCTTTAATATCACTTATCAATTGTTCTATAGTGGTGAAGTATATGGTATGTCTAAATTTTCCGAATATATTTTTACTTTCTATTCTTACTAATCCATTGTTAGTTTGGATAATAATTTGATTATTAAAATGGTTTAAGCTAGTGCCTACCCTTCTTATGGTTTCAGTGGGTGAGCTGAGTTGAGAGTGCTGCGATTCTGAGTCGGTTAATTGATTAATTTGTTGCCGACTTAGTGCGTCTGCAACTATGTTTTGAGAACCTGGTTTGTATACCAATTTGGCACCGTATTCTTCTATTTGGTTTTTCCACCTTTTTAGTTTACTATTAGGGTTCTTCCCTGAAATAGAGTAGGTTAAGGACTGATGATCCGTGTAGATTGTAAGGTCTGATCGTCCATATAAATAGTTCCTGAGTTTTTGTAGTGCCCAAATTATGGCTAATAACTCTTTTTCGTTCGTCCTATATTTTTGTTCCGTCTCGCTTAGTGTTCTGGATATAAAACAAATGGGATTTCTACCTTGGGATAACACAGCTCCTATGGCAAAATTACTTGCGTCCGTGGTTAAATCAAAGGGTTTATTGAAATCGGGTTGAAAGAGTTCGACTTGTGCTTGTAATTCCTTTTTTAATATATTCATCGCTTTTATGGCTTCCTCATCTAATTTTATTTGCATTCTTTCACTTTGATTTTTCTTTACGAGACCGTTTTCTCCTCTTAAAAACAATGTTAGGGGTTTAGTAATCTTGGCGTAGTCTTTGATGAATTTTCTATAATATCCTGCTAGTTCTAAAAATGATCTTTTCTGATTCTTTCAGATTCATAGGCACCGGGTAATTTTTTATGGTCTAAATTTTTTGTGGGTCTACGGTTATTCTATTATGTTTAATAATATGTCCTACATATTCAGTGCTGTCTTTGAAAAAATGAGATTTTTCGTATGAAATCTTCATATTTGCTTGACGCAGTGCATTTATAACAATTCTTATGTGTTCCATATGTTCATCGTGTGAGGATGAATAGATTAACACATCGTCTATATATACATGCACGAATTTTCCTATGTAATTCCTTAATATGTCATCTACGCATCTTTGAAATATTGAAGGTGCGTTCTTTAGTCCAAACGGCAGCCTTAAGAATTCATATTTTGCTCCGTTTATGCTAAAGGCTGTCTTTTCGGTGTCTGACTCCTTGATTTTTATCTGATGGAAACCTGCTTCCAAATCTAGGGTTGTAAAAACAGTTGCTTTACCTAAATTCTGTATTGTCATGTTGACATCGGGTATGGGATATCTATCGGTAATGGTTTCGCTATTCAATTTCTGGAAGTCTATGACCATTCTTCTCTTAGGGTTTCCTAACTTGTCAGTTCCTTTCTTTGGTACTGTCCATACGGGTGAGTTATAGGGACTTTTACTGGGTTTAATTATATTATTCTCTAGCATTTTATTTATTTCTTTATTTATAAAATTATTGTCTGAAAAGGGGTAAGGGTACTGTTTCGTCCATATTGGCTCTTCAGTTTTAGTGCGGATCGTCGCTTCAATTGTTGTTGTAAATGGTAAAATAGGATTTGTTTCCTCATTAATTCTCATAATTTCTTCAACTTCTTTTTTATATTTGCTCTCATCTATTGTGAAATTTACTTGACTGACATCCATTTCCTTTTTCTTCTGTTCTGTTCTCCTGACATACATCATTTTATATTCGAACAGATCTATCTTAGCTTTCATTTCTTTCAAGGATTGTTCTCCTAATATCATATCAAATTCTTTTAATTCTTCGATTTCAAAAAATATTAATTCTTGTCCTAGCATTCTAATCTTCTTGGCTGAGTTTATTGTGTTTGAACCATTCAGAGTTCTACTAACAAATTGTTTAACTGGGAAGGTCTTTCCATTTGGAATATTTTTCCTAATATAATTTAATGTCGAACCTGTGTCTATTAAAACTAATAGTTTTTTGTTATCATGTAAAATAATCTGAAGACACGGCAGATTATTTACTCGTCTAAAAAAGTAGCTCTATTTTCAAATTCGCTTTCATCTATATTTACCCTTAATGACTGATCACTATTATTATCCGTTATTTGGTTGATCCTTTGTAGTTTCTGTGGTGCTATATTATATCTGGATGACGTTGGTTGGTGGTTTCATTTAAATGGTTCTCCT